CTACAGTACTTCCAATATAAAGAGATTACGACAGCAAAAATCTAATGAAAAACATAGGGTGGATTTGTGGCAGATGAATTCTGCTCTCTAAACTAGAGCTTAAAGTCCTGAAATTTGTCTGGTTTTGTGGGGTTTAACCCCACAACTGGTTAATAACCAATCTGAAAAGCTTTTATCTTCACAGAAGTTGTTTGTTGGTTCTCTCCTCTCTTAATGTCAAAAGTGACAAAGTTCTCCCATCCCTGCCCCAACTGCACTGAGAACCAAGGCAGTAAAATATGATGAAAGGAAAATGAAATAATAATTATACTCAATATCTCAATTACCACTTATGTATTTTAAAAAAAAATTACAGACAGCATTTTCCTCTTCAAATGTTTCCTGTTTTAGACACTTAAATAGAATTAATACAACCCTCAACACACTTGTAGTCGGGTTGGTGTGAAACCCGTGGCCTTGGGGTCACTCAAAACCAGACTCTATCGACCTGCCACTGCCTTTGAGTTTTGTTACATTGCTCTTCCCAAGTGCCTGAAAACTACCAGAACTCCTTAATAACTAAAAGAAATCTTTGTTTAAGACTAACCACAATTGTTCCCTCACTCTTAGGCTACGGGGTTTTTTACTGCAGCCCAGTGAACACCAGCTGCCTCCCCAGTGCTGTTTCTGAAAGTTAAATGAACAAACAGCACCACAAAGAAATATCCAATATAAACTGCACAGCAGGAGACAGCACACAAGCAAATCAGATGTTACTCTTCCAGATTTTTTTCCCCACATTGTTTTGGAAGCGCTGTGAGAGACCATCTAATAATTACAGCCTTGCTTTTAAAAACAAAAACAAAAACCAACTCATTGCAACTAAAGAAATGCTAAGAGAACAGAGGCCCGTGATCTTTGTTTCTTACTACCAAACTCATCAATCAAAGCTTTGCTGGTACTGGAAGTTGTGATGAAATTGCATGTAGATGTAGTACAAGAGTATGTTAAAATGCACACATATTTGTACTAGTGAGAAAAGCAGCAGTAGTTCAGAAAGTAAGAGGAAAGTATTAAAGAGGATTACAATTTATGAACCCTTAAATCTACTCCAACGCAAAGTTTCACCAAGCTAATGAAACATCGTGAATAAATTAAATGGCTTTAAATAATGCTGAACTATCGTCAGTTGTTTAAGTAAATGGGATTTATGTGCCTATCAAAATCTTTCCCTTTCTCCATCACGCATATACGTGCCTCACTTTAAAAAAAAAAAAAAAAATATATAAAATCTAGATCTGCTCACAAAAGGAATTATTATTTCTAAACTGATGTTGTGGAGAAAAGCAGCAAAATAAAATTTAGTGGTTTTACTTTGTTGTGTCAAGTGGATAAAACTGTATTGAAGAGCTGTCATTTTCTAAAACAGTTTCACATTGTCTCTACAACAGAACCATTTTATCTTCTAACGTAAAATGCATAGAAAACACTTTCATGCTATGTTTTTTGCTTACTTTCATACTCAATAGAAAATGCTGCAATGAACAGGAAAAAACCCCCACAAACTAAGAAGAAAGTCATTGCAATCTTCTTGAGAGGCAAAAACATGCTATAATGATGGCATTATAACATGACAGCGTTTCAAAGTGCCGCGGATTCCTTTTGTGCTCACATAGTTTGATGTCCACACACAGCTCTAAAAACACTGTCTCGTAGAATGCAAAGTCTGTCAGTAAAAAAATAAAATAAAATAAATAAAAAAAAAAAAAAATCACACAAAATGTCAAAATTAACACTGCCGCTCACAAACTGCCTCGTGCATACAAGCATTTATGGTCCAGCAACACAAGGAATCAAATCCAAAGTTATGCCAGTGTACACAACTCTGATACTGATGACTTGTGCACTTCCATGTACCTTGCATCACAGAAACCACAGGCAATGTTAAATTAAACACTTAAGGCTGTCTAACAATTCCTATTATGAGATTCTAGTTTAACACTGAGCTTTTAACAAGCTCAGGTAGAATTTTCCATAGTGAGAATTCACACCTATTCCGCATTTCTTGTTCTCATGGATGATCTTATTCTCCTTCTGGTTTGGAATGCTTTAGTCTGAATGAAAACATGCAGAATGAAATCAAGGGAAAAAATAAATGAGCCTGCTCAAGTTATGATTAGCTAATAGTTTACTAAATGTAATGCTGCCATACTTCAAAATATGAACATGAAAAATGTATTTTAGGAAGTCACCCTGGCTGCACTTTAGGAATGAGATTTTCAGTTAGCTAAATAAACTTCCCCTTAGGCACGATCCCAAGTCACATTTTTATTGCAGAGACTAAGAAGTTGAGCTATAAGCAAAGGAAGAAAATGAAGTCAGAGAAAGCAAGGCATTACGGTCAAGAAAGCTGCATGGCAGTCCAAAATACCGGGCCTGAGACATGTCTCTGCTACTGAGATACTACTTTGTAATACTGGCCAAACCACGCAAATGGAACCCTGCAGCTTTTAGTGGGCATCATCTATTCTTGCGACCCATATTTAAGTGTGAAAGTCTGAAAAATGGCCTAAATTCACAGTTGAAAGGAGCTGTGTTCAGAGAACATATGCTTTACAATACTAATTGTTCCAAAAATAATAAGGCCATAGGGGTTTCAAGCTTGGCACTGAAAATTAATGGATGCATTCATTAATGTACACAAAATTCCTCAGTGTGAGTGAGAGCAATAGAAACATTGAAAAAAATCACATAGGCAAAAAAATACATTCTTCATATTCAGGGCAGAATGTGGATATAGATCATTTTAAATAGTGCTAGTTGGTCAAAAGTGGAAGATGAGGAAAATAGCAAATAGTTATTAATTATCTGGTCCTGTGTCAGGGAGAAGAGAATGAGCTCACGCACATAAAAACTCTTTGAGAAAGTAAGAAAGTAGAGAAACTCCAGCTTCACATTCATAAAACACAGATGTTCCTTTTAATGCGCATGTTGAGACTGTGCTCGTCTGGAAATCTGCCCTTTGGTAGAGCAGCAGAGGGTGCAATTCTTCCCAGGGATGAACTGTTCCCTACAGGAATGTGCAGCTGGTCACCTTTTCCCTTTCCAATTGAGCCTGTAGCAAACTCTCTGAAACAAGACACGTGCATGCCACTGAGTTGTTCAGAAATCAGAATTATTTGCTCTACCATGCCAGGGCTGGTAACGATCATTCCTTTGCATTCTTCTGCATATTTCTGCCATTCCAGTTCTTCCCACTGAAGCATGTTGGCGATCTCCTCTTCAGGCACCAGAGCTTTATTGCATCGCAACAAGTAGAGAAGAATCTGATGCATCGAGAGTACTTCTTTTCCTCCGTCTTGAAAAGTAAATAAATAAAACACATTTCAGACATTCACTCCAAAAGTACGAGCAAAATAGAAAATATGCAGAACGCAAAATATTCGGATAAGCAAAGTAAGATGCAAAATGCTTAAGTGACTTGACAGATACGAAGACAAATGTTTTACTGATGAATACTGTGCATGCATAAACATTTTGCTAAACTGGAAGCATTAATGGTAGCATGAGTAACAGTTTCACCATACTGTAAAGCTGAAGTTTCTAACTTGCCTGAAAAAAAAACTTTAAAATGAGTAAGCAGAACAATCAGTTACATTGTCCAGTTGTATCTTTCTCTTCACACTTTGATCACTCTTTTCACAATGGTACTTAAAAAGCCTTAGGCACTTAAGCAGCTTTTTTAAAGAACACTTGTGGATAAATGGGACAAGTTATTCTTCCATTTTAAACTCATCAGTAGTGCCATGCCGGCCTCTAAATGAATCGAGGGCACACAAAAACTGCGAAATCCCACAAAATGTGCACAGCAAAGGCTGTTTGTCACAGCAGTATAATAAACATCTCACTGGCTCCGTGTAGCCAGTTACAGATGAGAAGATGCAAAGAAGGCGGCGAGTGATGATCTTGATAGAAGACATCAACTACCAAATTCAGTGCATCTGCTCGTGAGAGTAAAAAGCCAGACGTGTTACTACGGTGCGACACACATCCCTCCGACCCCCTCCAACACCAGGGTGTTAATCTGCAGGTACGGAGGCATATTTGAGTTTCGTTCCCATAGAGCACAAGCATCTATTTCCCTTCCCTGGGGAGGAAAAACCAACCGGTCCTGTCACCAAGTACACTCTCTCCATCACTACACACACAAAAAAAGGAATGGAAAAAAAAAACAGAAACAAAGCCTTAGAGCAACGTGGAGGGTGATGCCTCAGCACAAGGAACAGGATGCCAGGCACACAGGAAAAGCTCCACAGAAATGCTGCTTGACAGCAGTGCCGCAGAAGATCACGTCCTTTACCAGACACATGAGGGAACAAGCCCTTCTCTTACTTGAGCTGGGATTCCAGCACTACGGTACAGAAAAGACAAAAGGGAATGATACAACTTGGTGTCTCCAAGAGGAAATCTTAAATGGGGAAAATACACTCCAAGTAGCCCTGAAAACAGAACCTTCTAAACAGCTACAGAGGCAGATTTTTAAATGTGTGAAGATCACCTTCAAATTAAAGGGAGACTCAGTTACAAGATTTCTAGTTTTGTCAACAACTAGATTATACGGTTAGGCAAGAGGTAGACCATGTCCAACAATCATTAAAAAAAAAAAACAACAAAAAACCAAATGTGTAGCCTACTCACTGAAGACCATGTTCAGGAAGGGCACAGATTAAACAGTAGTTAGGGACCAGATCTTTCCTGGGTAAGAACATGCAGCACTTGGGACAACAAACCCTATCACAATGAATACTATACAGCAGCTACGCCACATGCTATGTGTCTCCGGCACCCAGAAAACCCAGTACAATTTGCTGAAAACTCAAAGCTACTCAAGGTTGTCTTTAATTCACAGAGAAAATTCAACATCTTAAACATCATATTTTTAGACCACATTAGAAAAATAAGAAAGAAAGGAGATGGGAAATTAGAAGTTAATTTCTATCATTAAAGTGACAGTTGATGGATGTGTGGAGATCTGTCACACCAATATATCTTCTTTGAAAAGACATGGATATGTAATATTCTGCAAACATACCCAAAGGAAACATTCCCAATCTCTGGAAATTAAAAATCTCCAAGGATACCTCCGAAAACAATCAATACAAAATGCAAATTTGATTACAAAAAAAAAAAAATCCGTTGTAAGATGCTAAAAGGAAACTGTATATACAGCAATATCAGGGAAAAGACATTTTTAAAAATAAGAGTTAAGGCTGGGAACTTTAAAGAGGAAGCACACAGGAGTACATGTGATAGAGACTTATCTTTCTCTGTCAGTAAACAATCCAACAGCGCAGAAAGAGCTGACTTCTAAACTAAAATAAAACGAATTGGAAAACAAAAACCCCAAACTAACAGGAAAACCCCCTCCAGCTACACAAATCAGGCAGGTCAAACTTGTTCTCATTTTGTGATGAGGTCAAGCTAATCAGCCACATGTGGCTTCATGGCTTATTCTGTAAATTGCTTCAGCAGAACCAAATCAATGTTTGCTAGCAAGCCTCAGAGCTCTGCTTCTGATTGAACACTGTTGTGTATCCAGGAAGGAACAACAATTAGAAATACAGTCATCTAGCCATCAGTACTCTCCGCAGTAACGAGCCAAACCTCATCTAGCTACAGCTATAATTAATATCCCAGCTAAGTTTGAAAGCCCAGAGCAGAGAGCACCTCCAGGCCACAGTCCTCTCGATGAAGACTATTCCACATCTCTTTTGCACCCTCAGTCCAGCAGCTGAAACGCATCCTTCTGTCCACACACCCCTTCTGGAGCAATGACTGGCAGGATCTCAGCAGGACACATTTTCAATGGAGCCCTGACATTTATATTAACTGAAAGTCCGTCCTAGCATCTTATGAGGTGTTAAACGCCTGCATAAGCTGTTCACTCAAAATGAGCGTGAGGCTCCAGACCGCAGCTTGTCCTTGGCTGGCAGGCTTGGGTTGAATTGCACCAAAGTAGTGTTTTTCTGTCTTTTGCTGTTGGCTGCAAGGTCTAAGCTTGCATTAAGACAAAGAAAGAAAGAATCGGAACAAGATGTGCACAGGGGTGACAACCATGTTGACCCTCAAAACTGCATGTGAAGAGTTTTAATGCAATCACATAGTATGTTGAAGAGCAGAGAGGACATTAAATTCAGTTTCACATGTGAGATTAAGCAATAGGACTCCACAAATGTTGCAGCTCTGTGGCAGAGCAAGGACCAGCACGCCCCAGGACTGCCTGAAGTCACCACGACAGAGACAAAAGTTAGAAGCAATACTTGGCCTGCCCATCCAAATCCCAGTTCAGAGTAAGCCATCCACACACAACAAACCCTAAAGACTTCAGATGGAAGCATCAAATCTCTACACAACTCATTTGTCTTGCAGGAAGTCTTTCAGTGAGCTGTTTTGGGGGGTTTTTTTGGGAGGAAGGATTCTTTGGGGTTTTTATATCTAATTTCTATAAAGGTACCATAATACAAACACTACCTGGAAGAAATCTCACAAAGCGTGGCATGAAGTGAAATCTGGGGCAAGAAATAGAATCATCTTCAAGTGACGGACCTTAAACATGAAAAAATACAGAGAAGTTATGAACAACAACATATGTGCAAAAGAAAAAGAGGTAACCTGCAGATGAAAAAATCAATTAACAGTGATCACATTTGATACGGCCTGAGTTTCCATAGGAAAAGTAACAAAACACAGCAACAATTTCTAGTGAAAGCTTCACATGGACAATTGCAAAGAAAGCTGGAAAAACTTAACAGAATCTAACAAAAACACAGTAATTCTGTTTAAAACAGTGACACAGAAAAAGAGGGTTTTAAATACATCTAAGCCTTACAGACACAAGCACTAGTTTATCAGTCCCAACTGGCAGGGTTTTTTTTAGGTTACAGTAATAAAGATAACGAGGAAATTTCCATGAAGCTATTTTGTAGTGGTGTTTTAAAAAATTATTTATTTATTTCTTATTTCATCATCCAAAGCTCTGCATGATAACAAAAATCAAAACCGGGAAGTACCTGCTGTTAAAAGAGAAAGAGCAATCAGAACCAGTGATATGAAAGGTAACACTGATAATCAGTATACATTTAGTATCAAACCAAAGGCTACACAAAATGTATAAAACTTGTCTGCTCCTTTGTTTAATTGCAGGGTGCATCTCCACAGCCAAAGTCAAGACACCAAAACACACCTACAAATTCTGAGGTGAAATTCCTTTGATATCCCCTTGTTTGTTTTTTTTCTTTTAGACCTAGGGAAGAATCATCCCTGGAGTTCTCCTTTGTTGCAGTCTTCACAGAAACATAAATTTTCACCACCAAGTCAAAAGCATTCAGCTATAATGATACGTTATGCCTCTACGGCTGTCTGCATGACACTGCTTTTTAAGTTGACTGCGAAGAAATACTGTATGAGTAACTTGTTTGTTGGCTTGTACAAATAGAGAGAATAGTTTTACCTAACACCTCGGCTTTCAAAATAGCATGCCACACAATATTGTGCAATATTAAACATACAGCAATATTTACTGTTTGATTAAAAAGAACAGCTTTGGATTAAAGCAGAAATCGAGTTTATCTGCAAGAACACAGTGCCAGGTTCGTGCATTTTAATTGCTACAGCCCACGCTAATGAATTCTACTGTATTTCATCTTCTTGAAGAATAAAGCCGAAGTTCGTCCCTCTCACATAAACCAGCATTTGACTTTGTTCTTTTGAGATCCCTCCCCATGTTTTTCTTTTTAAACCAAAGAACATCACATAAGAGTCCTATTTACAAAAGCTGCAATTAATTGGTTTTCTGTATGCTGGGTTTTTTTTCCCCAAATAAAAAAGTTACCTTTAAGATTCCAGTCATAGAGCTCCAAAATATCTTTGAATAGATATGAAGAGAACAGCTCAAGACCTCTCACACAAAAATTCTGGGGAAAGAAACAAATAAACCAGAATTATAATTATGTAACACTGTAATACAAACAATGTCACTCCTGTATATTCAAATAAAACAATGAAGAAAACTGTATCTTCATATTTCCCAACTGCTAGATGCTGGGCTCAGGAAACAGTACTGATATATCCGTAATCATCTACTGTAATATAACACAGTGGTTGCTTCAGAGAGCTTTGTCAACAAAATGTTGTAAAGAAGACTCTTTAGTAAATGTCCAAATTGACATTATAGGCAGAAATTATGAATCTGCCATAATTTGCCATGCACTTAAACCCTTTCACCTGAGTGAGCTAAGCAGATGACAGGTTTTCAAGAAGGATCTTCTTCATAATTCATCTTTTCCTACATGTTCATATTAAAAGTCTATAAATCACAACCTGCGACATCATGATCGCTTCCATAACAACATACCAGTACAATGCAAATTGAGGATTTTGACCTCAAAAGACCACAGGGAAAAAGAAAAAACAACAAAACCCAAAGAGAACAAATTACATTTTTCTCATCAAGTGGGGAAGCAGCTCCCGCAAAGGAAAGAGCTTTGATTCAGAAATGAAAGAACTTATAAAGCCTCCCTTAATGAACAACATCAGTCCAGGATGATATAAATTGTACGTGTATGATACCAGCCATAAATTCCCAACCCAACAAAACAACCTCTTTTACAAGAATGCATTAGTAAAGATAGTCTGCAAATAGTGCTGCAGCCGATTGACCAGGAGTGTAAAAAAATGTCACATTCCCTATTTCACTTGGTGGCCTTTTGTTTTAGAACAAGATTTTGAGACAACACGGCAGATTCAGTAACAAGAAATGAATTGCTTTGATCATATTAATCTTGCTGAGGAATTTCAGGGTTCTTGCATATATTTAGATGCTGCTGAGCAACAAAAAGAGAGATAACTAGAGAAAAATATGTAAATATATGTGACTAAATTAAACACTGATCCTATCTTTGTAGTTAATATGCAGGGGTATTTCTGTACCTAACATATGCTGTTTCACTACAGCAATTTCCTTCACAAACTGGCTTCACCAAAGATTAACTTGTAATAAAAAAAAGATTATGAACCAAATGTGTTTTGTTTGTAACCACCGGAAATTTGTTTTGGCAATAGCTTATATTAAGTACTGATAAGCAATTTTCAGAACTTCAGACTCATGATTAAGTACCAACTCTGCTGCCAACTTCTGTGGTCCCATCAAACCAGCACCTCCACACACCTTATTTTTGTCACGCATAAAAGAAGGATAATGACAAACAGCTAACAGATAAGAGTACCTGACGTTTATTGTATATAACTTAAAATGAAAAGAAGCTATGGATATAAGCACTTCACACTATTTCCTACATAGATGGATTTATGGTAGCACCTGTGAGTGCAAATTCCTTTTCAGCCATTCTCTTAGAGGCTTCACCAGATGGGATTCTGAAGAGTTTCACCCCTAAAGCATATCAATAACTCGTAACTCATTCTGACTTTTTGACCTATTACGCATCTTACCTCAGGCATCATCTCTTCAATGAAATGAATTGTATAGTCAATGTTAAATCTGATTACTTTACATAGAGGAATCTGGAAATAAAAGAGAAAATAAGCATGAAAAGCTACACAGCACTGAACGCACACTTCACGCAATGTCTGCTGGAAAGGGCGTTTCCTACAACAGATGCTCTGGGGGATCATGCAAGGACAGGAACCCATGCACAGGCAAGTGAAGTAACAGTTTTAACCTCTAATCCTGTAATAACAGGGCTGAGAGGAGGGACGGTAAAAGATTAAATAATGCCATCTACTGGAGATAGAACTTCATTTAGAAGGAAAAGCAGTAAATTCGTGTCTTCTCTCACTTGTATGTTTAGAAGTGAATTTATTGTTGGTGACACAACATAGCAGATTGACCCAGTGACCTGAAGACAAGGTGATTTTAGCTACACTGACTTAAAATATGGCTCTAAGTCACAGCAACATCATGTGAGAACTGCATGATAAATTCACAGATTTACATTAATTTAATCCAATAAATATTCCAGTAAGACAAATCTCTAATTCCTTTTTTCACCTTTGGGGGAAAAAAAAAAAGTTCCTTTATCCACAAAGTTCATGGACTAATGAAGATGTCTTGTTTTCTTTAAATAGGATTTTTTAAAGCAAGAAAGCCAAACTAAAAGACTACAGAAATGTTTACCTTATACTTCCACAACTCTTAGCAGGTTTTACTATTCAGTGGCTTTGCAAGCATAAAAGAATCTTAGAACAACTCAATGGTCTGTGAAAGTGAGGCAACCCACGGTTATTTTGTATTGATAAGCACACAAATAAATACCTGCACGGTGCTGGGGTTGCACTGAAAATAAAGGAACTTAGCAGAGGTGCAGTACTCTGCTTGTATCCTTTTGCACCGCACTGTCAACATTTGACTATTCTGTCTACAAAAATCTATTGCTACCTTCATGATAAACTAAGGAGCTACAACAAATTGCCAATCAAAAAAAAAAAATCCTATGATTTTATACAATATTAAATGGAAATACAAAAATAAAACACCTTAGAAAGCAAATGTCCTATTTAGAATATGAGGAAAGGAAAGCCTGTCACATTAAATCAACAGGGCTTTTTAAAAGGAAAAAAAAACAAAAACAAAAAGCCACCATCAGGGACTGTTTGCTTACTTTCTAACGTGCAAGTTCAACCAGGAGAAGATATTCCGATTCAGAAACTGAGAAGCCTGCACTATTTTTCCTTATATTGAATAGAAAATAAATGTTTTACAGTAATGGCCACGACCAAAGTCTCCACAAATTAGATTCCCACGTACAAAATCAAAAGGAACATATGGTTTATGCTGTAAAACAATTCTGGTAGTTATATTAAGAAAACTAATTTCTCTAACTAATAATTTTCGCTAATACCTGACCTGCTCAATTATTACTAATAGTAACAGCAACACTACGACCTCTAGCAGCACGCAAAGCTAAGACTGCCGATTACAAAAACTCAGTTAATTCAAAGATGTTGCTGTTCAGATCTCTATTTTTGCTACTATTTTCCACTTCCCTTTTATCAAATATGTTCTGAAATGTCCCTCAAACAGCAGGTGTTCTGTTGCCACTTGCAAAGTGAAAATGTAAAACCTTAAGACAGACCTGCCCTGCACCCCAAGGCTGAGTTAATGCTACCAGGCAGGAGGGATTCCCACTGCCACGCCCCTGGCTGAACTCCACTTTCTCACTAACTTCTTGTCAACAAGAGTCCCTTTCCCTGCTCACCAAAAGCAAAATGTTGTCACACACGTTACGTAAGCAAACTATCAGCCAAAAAAATACCTTATTCTCAGAGACTCTCTGTTCCAGTACTGTTACATTCCAGTCTTGTACTGATAATCATTCCTGTACTGGGTTTGATGGTGTAAGTCAGTGATAGGTATAAAGCCAAAAAAACAAACACAATGGTTCTTGAAGTATCAAGATACCAAAAAAAAAAAAAAAAAAATCTTAAAATTAAATATTTGCAAATTTTTCATTCAGATGTGGTCAACAGCTTATAGTGGAAAAGCAGGGCAGTGAAACACCAATCATGTTTTCTCGTTATATTTTCTTTCCAAGCATAAAATTAATTGCCTCTTAAATATCTACAACTTTTAATAAAAATCATAACTTGCCTAGTTTCTACAGAACCTGAACAGATATTAGAAAGTAGGGGATACAGCTAAGTCAGTTTCCAGAAGAAATAAATTCTTTCAGAGAGGATCTCTGAAAAAGTCCATTTGCCACTTGAAAATCTTTTTTTTTTTTCAGTTTTTGTTGCTGTTTCTTTAAACTTTTCCAACTTAAAAAAAACCCTAAAACACCACCTCCTCAACCAATTTAAATTCAGTTAACAGTTTTAGCGAGTTATTCCATGGTTTATTTCACTTCCAAACTGTGAAACACATAAAACTATTACTTTGATAGACATCACAGGCTCGGTCACGGTTTGAAGGCTTTCCACAATTAGTCAAGACAAAACCCAGGACTCATCAGCACAAATGTCTTGTGCCCTGTCCCCAGCGCTGTTTAGAGAAGTTCTACTTCAGGGCATAAACAACCTACCTCCCAAACAAAATCCACGTCTGTAGTGATGAACATACTTACGTTCGTTAGCGGGGCATGGGCAAACATGGAGAACCCTTCAAAGATATATTCATGGTCATCATACTCAATAACGGTGGGTCTGTCTGTCTTAAAAAAGCAAATAAAATCACCATGAAGTAAGCAAGAAGCAGTACGACTTTGATCACCAAAACCAAAATCAGAGTCTCAGTTAGAATTATTTATAAAGTACTTACTAAGAAGTTTGTGGGAGGAGACACAGTAATTCGGTAGTGGTACAGTCTTCCAGCGTTGTTGGTCATGGGGCGACATGGTTTAATGGGCTTAAAGAAAGAGATAAGCAGAATTACGTGTACAGTCAAGGCAAATTTAGATTAAAAGAGAGAATAAAGCATTTCTAATAGCCATGAAACACGCACTACGAAAAATTAAATAAAAGCAGGTAGACATAACTAAGCATTCTGTGAAGAGTAGAAAGTGTGGCCTTATCTACATTTTCACTTTGGTAAATTCTTTAAGCTATTCAAAAAGGAAAAAAAAAAAAAGGTGAAAAACACTGCTGTAGTCTTTTCATTTTCCATTCGACTCTCTTACCCACGGCAGCTAGTTGTTTACATCTCAGACTAATTTCCACTCTTATACAAATTCGTAGTTTTGGGAAAGTAATTTTAAAAGCTTACAAGAAGGAATTTAGACCTCACATGAGAAGGTCTCAGATGATGTTATCAAGACAGACAGGCATCAACTCTGCTGTCTGAGGTAAATCTGGAGCCCGAAGGCATTACTCTATCACCACAGAGGCAGCAGCTCTGGTAACCCTGCTCCATCTGCCAGGTTGCAACGCCTGCCCAAGAGGTGCAGAGGCAGCCAGCCCTCCTGGCACTCAGTTCTAACACCAAATGCCTGAGGTTCATGTCTTCTTCCAGCTTATTCTTGAAACGTTTCAGTTTAAAGACCTAGAAATCCTCATACACCCTACACTCAGCGTGCTGCAGTTTAAAGGCTACCACCAGCCTGTTGGAAATACATCTGTCTCCATGGGGAAAAAAGAAATAATAAAAAAGCCACTGCAGTAAACAGGGTACTACTCTGAGCAGCGTTATAAAAGTTGGCCTGATGGCAAAGGCAAGCTGGCTGCACCACTGCGGAGCTCTGTGCACTTTGCAAAACCCATCCATTAAGGTGGGTAATTACTTTGGCTGCTCAGTCCTAAGACAGTCACAAAACCGCCTGGCTTTAAACTAGGTGGTTTATCTACAAGACACTGTAAAAAATGAATATATCCTAGGGGATTTTCTGAAACCTCCAATTCCCAGTTCCAGGGAGCAGCTGCCTTCATGCAGCAAGTTTTATATATTAGTTTTCTCCTCTTACATTTTCTCTCTCCTCCTCTGCAAGAAAAATAATAGAGACAACACAGGGAGGAATTGATCTGGAGCTGGAGCGATTTATAGTAAGTTTCAAACCAAAGTAATTTTTCTGAACTGGAAACATTCATAAATCCTTAACTGTAGAGAAATAAAAGAATGTTTCAAATAGATGTAAAAAGGCATATGGAAAAATAAAATTCTGGGAGAAAAATTACCAAGGTAAACTGTATAACATAGTTATTAATGTTCTTTGATTCTTTAACAAGAACAAAGTTTTTCAGAATAAAAATTCTGAGGTCATCCAAGCACTGTTTTTATTCCCAGAAACAATACTGATCACAAAGCATGGTCCATATAAATTAATATTTCTAAGCAAAATAACCAAACCCTATTTTAACAACACCTTTTAAAAGAAAGGCACTACTATTCTATAATGTGTTTCAGGAAGCTGATGAAGTTATTTTTTTAATTGCGTATTTATAATAAAACTTAATAAACCAACTGTTGGCAGTGCAGACATGCTCTAGCACTAAGGCAAGAACACCTCCTGCCAAGCTTCCCGGTCCTGTCAGCAGCACAATTACTATTTCATTTACTTTTACAGCAGTCCCTTCACAAAGAGAGCCCTCATAACACACTCATCCACTTGAAGATGGTAGATCTTTGACCACAAGTTCCTTCTAATGTAATTGTGTTTCAGAAACTTTAAAAAATACCCCATAGAACTAAACAACCACAGGCAAAAGTTTTCCATAGTCTTCAGGTGAATTTTAAATAAGAGGTTATACAACTAAGTGATTTAAAGTCACACAGGAATTTTTATTCAGCCTTCAAATCAGGGGGGAGGAACAAAACTTCAAATCAACCCAAGTATGAACTTATCGTAGCGAGTTTGTATTCTTAAATGCAGTTCTTAGGATTGTTTACCTCTTCGCCAGGATAAATGCCATGTCTGATTCCTGTTCGTCGGGCTTTAGCACTGCACTTGCACAAAGGTCCATCATTCATCTGTCAGAAGAAAAACACAAACTGAAAAATAGTTTTGGAAAAGCACACTGGTTCTCATGCCTGGAGTGTCAAGCCTTCTAAAAGCCTGCCATGCTCAGATTAAGTGAATGTTTTTAAGCCCGTAAAACTGAAAACAGTATAGACTAATGTAAAGCTGCACAATAGCATTAAAACTTCATCACTGTTTCAGAAGCACAAGACGCCAAAACGCTCTCAGCAGAATTGTACCACATCTTTTCCATTTCTTATATAAACAGCATGCTGTCAGCCTAAACCAAAATTCAGGCCTTAAACACACACATGGAAATATTTACAAGCCGAAATCTCCCCATTTAAATAGTTCCACTAAGTTCACTGACTGAAATCCTGTCCCTGACTAACCCCTCTGCCATGAGACAGGGATATCACGCCAAGGATGCAAAGCAGGCTGAAGATTTTACTCAGTGCTTTAAAAAACTAATAGGAACACTTCATTCTGTTCTATTCACAGAATGGATTTTAAGAGGGGAAAAAATATCCGCTTGAGTGTTCCAGATGGGTGTATCAAGTGTAAAGCCAGTGACTCTCCTTTCAGTTTTATGACCAAGTTCGATGCAGACGATCCATTACAGCAGTACCCTACAGCTTTCTGCTCTTCACATCATGCCCACTGCAGAAATGCAACGAAAAAGCACAGAACCAAACCAGAGAAACAAATTAAGTTCCCAACCCCAGGCTTTAACGGAATTTTTCAGTTTGAATCCAAGAATGGAAACTATTTTTCGGATTAAGGAAAAAGAGACAACAAAAACCACCTTGCAATGCAATACAAAAACCAGCAGAAATTTCCATGCGATTTTAGTTTGAAACTTAGTCATTTTAAGCATTCTGCAATTGTAAACAGCATTCTTGGTGGGGCTAAAGAGCATCATCACACAACAGATAGAATGTGAAGATGCCTCAGGAAGCAAGAACCATACTGCTGTTAATGTAACCTTTACATAGTTGGGAGAGAGATGCAACTTTTTCATTTTGATGTTCATCTCAGTCTGAAGCACAGATGGAAAGAAACAGAAGAAGTAGGGTACTTCTCCTCTGGCAGTCGTGCAATCTTGGCAAGAGAGTAACATGATGGCTTTTTGCTCCTGCATTTTTTTATCCCTACTCTGAATCCCCAAGGGAAGTATAGGCTCAGTGAAATTGCATCATGCTTATAGGTAAAAGCAACCATGAGGTGATGATACTGAACGATCACAATTTTACACAGGTGATGGCTTCTAACTTCCTCTGACCAACAGGGCAACACAAACCAGCAGGTAACACTTGAAAGGAAAAGGCTGCTGCAGCAGCCTTGGCTTTCACAAGTTATTTTCTGGCAACAGCCAGCACTGCTGGAGATTATCCAAAGTAACCAGCACTGCTCAGAATGAAAGGTTGGGAAGATGCACCTTTAAAAATGGAGTTCCATGTTAGACTGTGCACTCGGACATGCCAGTGCACGTGGAAATAAAAAAATGCTTTATGCAGTGATAGAAAGCATTTTGGTGTAGCAGAAGAACACCTAGGAAAACTTGGAATGTTTTCAGATAAAAATCTATTCAGAAGTAACAGAGCACCGAGAAGCTCACAGTGATCTGATTTCAGTTCCTTCAAGAAAAATGAAGTCAGTCTCAAGAAAGCTTTCGGCAAAAAAAACAGCAGGAAACTCAGAAATGACACGCTCCCGAATCATAATCATCCCACAGTTATTCCACTTCTTATTTAGCCAACATTCTGACCTAGAACATTACTTTGAGGCGTGCTCAAGAGGTACACTTTTTTCAGTTAAATATCTAGAGCAGTTTGCTAATCTTGTTTTCCACACAAATAAAAACAGCTAGCTATGCTCAGCCAAATTATTTTTTTAACTAAAAACATAAATATGAATCTGTAGTAGAATATTCAACAGACCTTTGAATTACCACAGCGGCAATATGCACTGCACTGTGTCTTCACACTATGATTTGTTGCGTGCTAAGCTCATGCACTGCACAAAGTGCCAAAAAAATAAATTTACTGGGGTGCCATTTGACAATGAGTTAGAATAGGCTGTAAAATATTTCAGTAAGAAAGGTGAAGATGGCGAATTTGCAAATAAAGAACTAGTTTTCTGTGCAAGGTACACATTCAAAACAACACTTAATAAGCTCGGCAATTACTTTTAATGAGAACTATAGCCTTCATGCAATTACAAAAGAACCATTAAACAAGAACTTATGACCATTAACCGCACTTTAAAATCTTATCTATCATTTTGAGCTGGGAGCTTTTAGGTGAAAAATTTGTAAAAGACATAAATACTTTGCCTTTTCTCCACCCCAGAATTCACGTGCATACCTTTAGCTCATGGCTAAGAGGACAACATTAGCACATCGTTAGAAATTCAGATTTTATTAACACTGTCAGATGTGATTTCAGCTGAATAACCCCCAGGATTCAGCAGCTGGAATCACATTGTCAAAATCAGAAATGCTTTGAAGAAGTGAAGAGAGAAAAGGAGGGTTAAAAAGCGTGTATTGAAATAGCACTCAGCATGTTTGACAACAATGCTGAACTTGTCTACAGGGGGAATGATTTTCAGACATACATTACTTTTCCCTCTCGCCGTACCTGTCCTGGATCATTGTACCACAGTTCTTCATGGAGACGATCAGGGTGCGCTTTTTTACGCTTAATTTCTGCAATGACGTCAAAAACATCTGAATCTGAACTGCTGGAGCAGCTGCTGTCATCTTCAGAGTCGCAGTCTGAGTCAGTGGAGCTCTCTGATTCACACAGGGGGGAAAAAAGTTCAGCGAAAAACATTTCCACATCCTCTCTTTTCCAACAGCAAGGTGTTCTCTAACAAGACACAGCTAAGTGTGGCATACTGAAAGCTCTTCAAGTCAGGCACAACATTCACACTACAAATACAAGGGACAGCAACTGCATTTTTAATTAAAAATTACAGTGAATTCTATGCATATGAAATCTGTATAACAAATGCTTCTGCCTGCATGCATGAGAGAGCGCTGTTTGGCTGTCCAGGAGCACCACTGATCTGTCATACAATTTCAGTTACTTGACAATAATAGAGCTAGAACCAAGTGTTAACATTTAAAAAAAAAAATAAATAAAATACATCTAATGTTACTAGCACAAGCTAAAGAGAACCTCTTCTTTAAAAGTTAATTCTGCTTCCTATAACATCGAGTTTCATTTTACCTAAAAATGCTCCTGTCTGTAGGAGGATATTGTCTATTTAAGAGCTTCAAAACAGTAGATAGATATAGAATTGTTTTGGAACATTTACTGTTAGATTATTTTTACAAAAATCAATTATTTCTAATAAAACCACTCACACATTAGCAACTATAAACAAGAAGAAAACCTGGAACTACTAGCTGACTGAATTCAGTCATAAGTTTTTTGGAAGCCCTGTTCTGTGAGTTTTCCAGTTTTCCTTTTTTTTTTTTTTTAAGGACTTTGTTTGTATTAACTAAAAATTTTTTTCTGATATGAGGGGGGAGAATGATGCTAAAGAAAAATAAAACCAGAAGACTGTCTTAGACCTGTTAAAATGTCTCATTCGTGCTGCTGTCAGAGTAACATTAGTGAGTGTCTGGACTTAATTAAAAATAAATAAATAAAAAGAAATCACAAAACCCAGAGTCTGATCTCAGGTATCTCTAACCTCCTGTGGTACTTAGAAGTGACTCCCTTTCTTATATGTGTAATGTCATTCATATCTACAGATCTGCTCAGCTCCAATTTAAATAAATGCCCTCATAGCCAAGACATATACTATGATGCAAGTAAGGTTTACTACTCTTGGAAGAAATGGAAGCAGTGTTGCATCCCTAATAAATTTTGACTTTAGAGAAAACATGTGTTGCCTGATCTAGTCGAGAGGTGGCGTCCCTGCCCATGACAGGAAGGTTGGACTAGATGATCTCTAAGGTCCCTTCCAGCCTAGGCCATTCTATGATTCTATGATATTACTACACCGGTTTGAAATTCAGCAAAATATCACTTAAAATTTGTGTATTTACTCAATAGGAGACTCTCCTTAGTTAAAAGAAAAAGGAGAGAAAATGAGATACTAGTAATAAAATAGGATTCCTTTTATACAGTCTATATTTCACAGCAATGTGTTATTAAAACACATCCTTGAGACATAAGCTTTACACAGGTCATATATGCTCAGTTTTGTCTATATGACAAAACATCAATATCAACAAAAATTGATATGACAAAATAACAAAATATCAATATCAAACACACCAAGTTTTGTCTAAATGGGCAGACAAGTATATTCCTACAAAGATTCAGAAACACTTGAGTTTTAAAGTTCTTCAATAAACACTAATCACTCATACAAGTCAAATCTTAGATGCAAAATGAGTATAGAGCCTTTGAAAGCTGGAGTTCTGAAAGAGCAGTGCAAAGCTTTTGGATTCCATATACTGAAATCAGCTCTTGGAGTGCATAGCTATCTCATTGCCACACAACTCCTGCTCACAAATGGCAAAACAGAGACAGCATTTACTGAGTACAGAATACAATAAACTCTCAGACGCTACAGAAGCATGGATGTAGAAGCTAACACAGGCAGCAAGTGAGCCCAGGGGACAAGCACAGGCACAGAGCCTTCAGGTCCTCCAGAAAGACTGAAAAAAAGAAACAGCAAAGTTGCTCTTGGCCAGATCATATTTCAGCCTGAAGCAGTGAAGGAACTCTTTCTGCAGAGATCTGAGGAAGCAAAGCTTTACGCAGCTACGCTGAATGTAGCGGTTTTGTCCCTGCTCCATCCACGCAAAAAAAAAAAAAAAACCCCAACCAACTCCTGAAAAACCCTACAGGTATCTTTGCTTCAGAGAATTTAAATATGTGAAAGTCTGCTGTTCAAGATAACACAAAAAAGGTGTTTCTTTTACAAAAGTGAATTCACATTTTATTTAATCTGTGTGGTTTTCTTTCTTTCGTCTTTACTCTGTCTTTTTATATTGCCAACATGTAACTGATCACGTCATTATATACCTATATTTCAACTTTAGAATTTTTTATATGTGATTTTTAAAGCATTGTGAAGCTCAGATATAAGTCTGAGGCAGCTCAACGGTCAAACATGAAGCATCAAGTAAAAACGCAAGCCCAGAGTATCTAAATGAACGTGATATGCCTAAAAGTTTCTCGAACTAATGCAACTGACTGAAAAACACACTATGAAGCACTGAAACACCCGAAGTATAAAAGGAGCAGCTAACAGTTCTCACAAAACAAAATACAAACCCCAGCTTTTGCTGACTTCTACAGCTATAAAAAAATTATGCCCTGCTAATTCAACCAGTATTTCCCCAACAACTGATACAGCCAGCAGACTTATTTCACTGCAAGAAGATTCACGTGTGTGCTGCACGACAATGCAGATAAACTGTTTTGAAAACCAATACTTCTACGTAAGATCATGTTAAGCAGAGCTTCACAACCAGAACACAATGAAGAAGGATGAACTTAGTGCCTTAGAAGTTTATCACCACTACTCTTGCTTAATTTTTAGAAATAAGAGCCCAAGAGCTTCTCAAACACAACTTTATCACCCCTACTCTTCTTCCTTTTTTGAAAATAAGAGACCAGTAGCTCTTCAACATCTCTTGTCTGCCATGCTTTCACCTACCTCATCACGCTCAGGGTGCTTTCATGCCATGGAGGAGATATTAGCATAAGGCAGTGCTGGGTACTCTATTTTCGGTTAGGCTTTCTGAGCAAAGAACCTAGCCCCGCTTAGTCAAAACCAACACTGAAACTCCCGTGGATATACAACACGAAGGAAAGACTTAACAAGAAATTAACCTACCAGTATTATTAAATAAACACAACTGTCAAAATCAGGTTTTAACTACAGACTATTCTGTTTCAGAGCTTTTTTCATCATTGCTGCCTACCTAAGTCTTCATCCAGCTTGGTCTTTGGTGGCTCCCAGGGGGGCCTGGCTGCTTTGGCCTTCGCCTGTCGCTTTCCCAACTCGTCGTCAAATTTTTCATACAGATCCCGGAGTTTGCTTGTTCCTACCACAGTAGAGTCACCCTGTTAATTAAAAACAGAACAACAACAAGAGAGCATTAAAACAGCACATGAACACAACACATACCAGTGTTTCACAATGACAAGCAAGAGGGGCGAAAGACTAACCTGTCTAATTCAATGAAACAGAAATATTTGTTAAGGCTTTAGTATACCATCACATTGCTCCACCAGCTGAATCAGTAGAGAAATTACTTCATTTGCTGGTGTGTTCTCATCAAACCTTTGGCCTAATGAAGCAGAACTACGGCTAAGCATATTTAGTATAGCTCCTCACTGAATTTTTTTTAATAGGTTTAGAAGGAACAGGAGACTTGGGAAAGTGTTTTGCAACTAAAAAGAATTTTATCACACATAAGAAACACAAAACCCAGCTCATTTTGTTGCCCACTTTGAATCACCATGAATTCACTCTCTGTGCCATTCTCAAAAAAACAACAAAAAAAACCCCACAACAAACCACAAACAAAAACTACAAAAAAAAAAAAAACCCGCCAGAAACCTTCCCGCGGCCATCACTACTGCACCAGCAAGTGTTATTGTCAAATACAAAGAATCCTGACTTCCCATTTCTGTACAAAATTTCTCCAAGGTAGTGAGAATACACGGTGCTTGAATCATCTTTGCTCAAATACAGCTGCAATGGAAAAAAAACAAAACAAAACACAACAACAAAAAACCCAAACACCCTTCCCTTCTGAAGACAAGCGCCCCTCTTCCATGTACCACTAATCCAAATGCAAACAGACAGAAGAAATTCATGAAAATAAAGAGTACCAACAAAGACCTTAAAAGGTTTAAAAGACTGAGAAGGCTGGGAGAAGAGAAGGATTAAATGACATACACTATAAACCTGCTGAAAGGCTCACATTAATCAAGTAATCAAATAATCAATAAAGGACTGTGTACAGTAATGTTAGAACTGTCTCACAAACATACCACTTGATCCATAGGATCATTGGAATAATAGCTTTCAGAATGGGTACAGCGAACCCAAACCGGTTTAAGTAATTCCTCATCTTCCTCTTCATTTTTTTCAGATGCATTCTCCTCTGATTCTTTGTCTTTGATAGCGGTATAATTTTTCTCTTTGCTGGAGCTCTGGTTCTCAGACCACCTTTCTCTGTCCTCCTCCCATCGGGGTCTCTTTCTCTCTCTGCTTGGTGACCGGCTTAGTGGAACAAAGCAAACAAAAGCAATTCTTTATTATTTTACATTTATAACAAAAGACGGAGTTTGCTTCAGTACATCATTCTATCATAAATTACACCAAAATCCACTTGCCTCTTCCTGCTTTCAACTTGTACCACAAGGAGTACAGTACTTTGTAGATCTGACCTATTATAATAAATTTACTTAAAATTGAAAATGCTTTTGTACTGTGAATCTTATTTCAGAATTAAAATGAAAAAACTATGTGCTATGTTAGATTAAAATTCATACTTGCATTCTAAGTGACTTCCTTTAAATTTTGTTCTAAAGTTGAAAACTCATCACTAAAAACTAAAAGTCACATCATTCACAACTGAAAGTTATAAGACAAAGTAGCTTTATTACATAGCCAAACTATTTGCACGAGAAAAGAATCAGAGTTTATTAGAAGGATTACACAGAAGCCACATGACTTGAGTTACTGTAACTCTGGCACTCCTTTGAACATCGCAACCTGTGATATTCCTTATGTATTACAAGGGTAATGCTTTCAAAAGCTGAAAGTAGGATTTACTCATCTCTGCCTACAAAACCAGTAACATTGCAATGATTTCAACTATCCAAGATTCAAAAGGAAAGCAGCATCAATATAAAAAGAAGCTCCTAAAAGATGATCTAAATATAGAAAGACTTTAAATAATCTTCATTCTTTACAGACTGAAGGCAGATGTAAAATTAAGTCTTTAGGACATGGCAGTGAGACCCTCTCTCCAGAGATTAACCCTGGTTATAGATTTAAGATAGTCATCTTTGCTGAGCTTCAAACCAGGCATGTATGCACACGTGCATACACAAAAATTCAAATGCATGAATGCACAGAAACTCAAATACCCAAGAGTCCAAGTATAATCTTCCTTACCTTCCTGCTCTCTTGTAATCTTTTTTGTATGATCTGTCTGGTGATGGCGATCTTCTGCTGTCCCGGTGCCTATGCCTCTCCCTCTCCCGCTCCCTTGGAGAGTTCAAAACATAAGTTAAATGAGAAATCTGGTATTTCATACATTCCACACCTGAAAGGAGCACAGAAGCAGGCTGAGATTGCGTTATACAAAATGACATACACACGCTGTCTGCTAAAGCCTCAGACATTCTTAATGCTAACCTTCAAGAAATTGGTAAAAGACAGTCACCTATCTCCTTGCCTGTCATAAAGTCACCTATCTCAATACTACAGTTAATCATACCATGCAGAGCTAACTTCCATAAATTCACCACAGGCTTGTTGCCACTCTTCCTCGTCTCCTGTTATGAATGGCAAAGGGTAAGATACCTATATCTTTAGCCATTCTTAGTGCCTCAAGGAAGGGAACCTATTCCCTGCACAATAGCTTTATAAGGATTGCAGTCACTCAAGTCTTTCAGGCAAGCCCTCTCTTCCAAACAGCCGCCTCAAGCACACACACAAAATTGACACGGGAAATCTGAAAAAAACCATGAATCTTATCCACAGGACTCAACTTGCACACACAAAGAACATAACCACTCAAAAACATTTCTCGAGCAAAGCAGCTTTAAATTAACAAAGGTTTGGGGAAGAGTGGCTGGAAAGCTGCACAGCAGGCAGAAAAGGACCTGTGAGTGTTGGTCAACAGCCCACTGAATATAAGCCAGCAGTGTGCCCAGGTGGCCAAGAAGGCCAACAGCATCCTGGCCTGGATCAGGAATAGTGTGGCCAGCAGGAGCAGGGAAGGGATTGTTTCCCTGTACTCAGCACTGGTGAGGCAGCACTTGGAATCCTACATTCAGTTTTGGGCCCCTCACTACAAGAGGGACATTGAGGCGTTGGAGCGTGTCTGAAGAAGGGCAACGAAGCTGGTGAAGGGTCTGGAGAATAAGCATTGGGAGGAGTGGCTGAGTTGTTTAGCCTGGAGAAAAGAGGGCTGAGGAGGGACCTTACCACTCTCTTACAACTACCTGAAAGGAGGCTGCAGAGAGGTGGGAATTGGTCTCTTCTCTTCACGTTTCAACTGATAGGACAGGAGGAAAAGATGTCAAGTTACACCAGGGGATGTTTAGATTGGACATTAAGGAAAACTTCTTCACCTCAAGGGAAGCACTGGAACAGGCTGCCCAGGGCAGTGGTGGAGTCACCATTCTTGGAGGGATTTAAAAGATGTGCAGACATGGTGCCTAGGGACAGGGTTTAGTGGTGGAGTTGGCAATGTGAGGGTAACTGTTGGACTCTATAATCTTTACAGGTTTTCTCCAGCCTGAATGGTTCTGTGATTCCATGAAATTACTGTGTATATGAGGCAAAGATAACAGTTTTCATACTTTAACAGCTGACAGCTCATTAGTCCCCAATCACTTGTGTACCTGCCAAATCGCCTAGTAAATGAGCCTGTTGATACACAAGGTATTATAAATATCTGCCTCAGGTGGTTTAGTGGGCTAACACAATGAGTCAAGATTATTTATGAACATATATAGGTATGTTTCTATATGCATAATATGAAATAGAATGGCTATGAAATTTACAAAGTACAAAGCTCATGTAAATTATCTATTGTTCTTTCTCACACACGTTCACCCTTTTCTGCCTGTGCCTTGTTCAAACACAAGATCTGGTCTTCAGAGAGCGCATATTCTATGCCACCTTATTCACTTGAGAGATGAATGCTGTGCAGAAAACACACCAAGGCTGGCAAATGGTTCTCATTAAAATAAGCAGATACATTGTCAAGTATACCTGGAAGCTGTTGGCCTCAAGCAGTCATCCACAAATGTTTCAGGAAGAAGCTGCTGAAAGCATTCATTTTCCAAACTTAAAACTTTAAAATCTAAACAATAAACTGTGAAATTATGTGGCAAACATTTGAGTCGCCTACAAGTGTGGAAAATTCTATAGGCTCACGATAAAGAAAAGGCCCGTGCCTTAATGTTGGCTGCATTTGGTTTTACAAAAAAAAAATAAAATCCTCTTCTGGAAATCAAAGTGAGCTTACTGAATGTGAGGTCTAGATTGATTTCTCTTCCCCCCCATATAGCTGTCTAAAGTTCTGCAATTAAACCTCTGCATGTTTAAAACCTCTGCATGTTTAAATCAAAGTGGCTTCAATTCTACAGGCACTAAGTGTAAACTAATTTTTCACATGTGATGTGAGAAAGCTCTTGATTTCTTTTCCCCCCATACAGCTGTCTAAAGTTCTGCAATTAAACCTCTGCACGTTTAAATCAAAGTGGCTTCAATTCTACAGGCACTAAGTGTAAACTAATTTTTCACATGTGATGTGAGAAAGCTCAGAGCTTCTATAATTAGAGCATATGATCCAGGTGTCCTGATTAACAGTTAGATAAACTTTCCAGTATCTCTCTTTGAATATTCTAACCTAGATGATTAGACATGAAGAAAGCAAGTAAGACTTTAGAAAGATTTAACTGATAACAGTTTGCTCTGAAACACTACACAAACTGCATAAGGTCAGCTCATGATCTGCAAGCTGCTTGTGTTTATGAAGCAGAGGGAGAGAAACTTCAAGACACATCCCAAAATAAGCAGTGCACCCTCACCCAGCTGAATAAGATGTCAACATAGCCTACAGCTTGCCTATTTCTTTTAACTGGTGTATGCTAATTTCCACCTCAGTCCTCTCCCAAGTTCAGAGGCTGTCTTGCTGAGATCTTCATCCCAAACAGAATCACACAGGCAGGTCTAAGCATCCACTGGGAGGTCCTGTGAAGCCTGCACGTGTCTGCACTGGTCTCCCACAAGGACGAGGACAGAGCAGGGAGAAGAACACTGTGCAACACATTTTTCACCAAAACGTCTCACTGCAAGGATTAGATATGTGCACCTATAAGACTCTAACACTCTGCAAGTGCGGGTTCTCTACAAATACAGGGCTTACTCAAAGCAAGATCAAATTCAGGCAACACCTGAAAATCTAACTCTGGTACTTAAATCTTGAAATTTGAGGTGATGGGACTTAACTGTTCATAAGGCTCAACTTTGAATACAGTCTTTTGCATAAAGCTGTGCCAATTCTCATGCCACACATGCTTAAGTTTCTGTGGTAATTACCCATGAGAATAGAGCACTACTCCAAGTAGTAGTAAGAAGCTCTCAGTTTCCAAAGGAGAGCTCCTTTGCTTCCAGGTGTCAACATGAACAAGGGCAACAAGTCTGCCAGCTGCAAAGGTGAAGGAGAAACAGCATTATCTGGAAGGTGTCACAGCAGCAGCTCTTCTCACCAGACCCAAGTACTGGCTACTCCTCAAGCTACAGAGAAAAACAAGGGTGATGGAAAAACATCAATGCAAGTTACCTGTTACGCTCATAACTCCTGTGATGAGGCGATATCCTTCCTCTGTCATAATCCGTCCGGTGCCGACTGCATTCCTGTCTCCTCCTATCAGGACTCCGGCCTCGATCCCGACGATCCCCATGGTTAGCGGACCGATGCCTGTCACCGTGGATGTGACCGTGTTCACGATGTCGGTGCTCATCATAGTGCTTGCTCCTGTCTGGAGACCTCCGATCGCTTTGTGACTTCTCTCCCTGGTACTGGCCCGTGTGCCGAAAATGACTGCTGCCGCCGCTGTTGGTAACGCTGCTCTGAAAGGAGCCGGAGCTGTGCTGGTAGCTACTGAAGTTTGGCGGTGGGAAGGACTGCTGCGAATACCCCGTGGAATATACGGGCTGATAGTTGACTTGCTGCGGTATGACTGGTGGGGGAGGAGGATGTGGCACCGCAGGAGGAGGCATCATGTAAGGAAAGGTGCTTTGCCCGGCAGGAGTTCCTGGCACAGGAGCGTTGCTCGGACTTGGCACCGGCGGAGGAGCGGGAGGGAAGCAGGGAGGCACCGGGAAGCTCTGCCTCATCTGGTGGTTTGGAAACGGTGGCCTCATAGGACACTGGCTGATGGGGTTTTGTGTGGAAGGGGGTACAGGAGGAGGATAGGGCACAAAGTCTGGCCTGGGAGGCATGTAACCGGTAGTTGGAGGGTTTGAGTAGGTTGTTGGAGGAGCAGTTTGCTGGTCATACTGGTATTGTACAGAGGGCTGCTGTGGGTGAAGCTGCCGTAGGTTCTGAGGGCGGTAGGTCTGTGTTGAGGTTCTTGCTCCTGGTCCCCCCTGACCGCGGGGACATCCTCGCCCAGAATGGAAAGACATGGCTCACCTGTTATGAAGAAAATACAAGCCTAGCATCAGACAACTTTTGTAGGACATCCTGAATGCATTTGCAGGAACTACTCCCAAAGTGCTGAAATTAGTTTCTGCAGTTTCCTTTAAGAAAAGCAGCAAATGATGTCCACTGGCTTTCACTGGGACCTTAGTGAGCTTCAGACCACTGGTACAGGTCATTTATGTCCCTTTGATTCCCTTAAGCCTCTAATTCACAAAAGCACTAGACCACCTTTTATACAGAACCCAAACTGAACCCTACTCTCTGATTTATAGCAGTGCTAATTTCAACAAATGATTGCTATGACGACTGGCCAAGGACACAAGCACCTCTACCAGCATTCACTAGACACTTCCATTTAAAGCCTTCAGATACTCCCCACCAAGGAAACCACTTGTTTTAACAACCGCAATTGCAATCCAGAGACACATAATGAGAAGTCCGCTCTAGAACAGGATTCTAAACTTCAGGCAGAATGACTTCACGAACACCTCATTGCAAGCCAGCCAGTCCAACAAATCACGTCAACTTTAAATGAGATAGTAGCAATTTACATTCACAATTGAATAAAGGACTGAATTCAACTGATACTTCATAGTATTTTAAGTTAGGTAGGTATATTTTTGTGGAATGAGAATCCTAGAGGTTACTAAAAAACATTATGTAGACTGTGCTGTTAATCCAATTTTATTGAAATAAATAGTTCCCCAAAAATCCTTCAGCTGCCTGCATGGTCCTGCTACCTTTCCAGTAATTGCCATTACTGCAAGTAGGCTTAAGTGTGGCTAAAAACTACATTTAAGGCATTGTATAAATGCTTATAAATGAAAACTACTGTGCTTCATTAAAGTTAAAATTAATTATTTAATAACAATTTCAACCTTCAAAAATTGAAAAAAAATAAAATAAAACAATTCACAGTGTCTCAGCTGCAATGGGGGGGAGAGAAAAAAAAAAGTAGTTATGCTATCCCAGAAGTCAAACCCTGTTTTCTGTAAGGGGATGGAGAGAAAAAAAGGAGACACACACACATAATTGGAAAGATCACCAGATAAAGAAACAAAGCCTCCGTTTCACTGAGGCTTTGCTGATGCTGAAGAATTTTCTCTCACCTACCAACATGCAACATGGCCAACCCAGATGGCTCGGAACAGCGCCTTCAGCTGCATTCTGGTGTCAGTGCTGCAAAAGATGCAGCTTCCTGAGAGACAGCAGACAACTTCTGGCAAACCAGAGGGAGAAAGGAAAAGAAATAAAGGGGGGAAAAAGACTGACATCAAGGAGAAAGAATCGAGAGGACTCTAACTCTAAGTCTCTTCTCACACATGCAGGGCTTAGTGGAAGCCAGTGGAAGTCGTGGCAGTGAATTTCATTCCCTCTCCACAGAAACCAAACACCAAAGTAAGGGAGAATCCTGTGTTTCTGAGAAGCAGTGGCCATTGATGGCCAAGCCACTTGTTCCTTCCAGTCAGACTGGCCTGTACCCTCCAACCTTGTAAAAGCTCTCAAAGAGAAAGGACAAGGAACGGGGGGAAGGTGATTTCCATTACTTTGTCTGGCAATAGTGCAACCTTTTGTCATTATTAATTTTAATCCATCAGACACTGAATCAATTCTGCTTTAGCTCAGCAGTCATAATCTTACATATGTAACAGAAACATGTTTTACACTTCGATGGCATTTGCATGCACATTTTATTTAAACAGGCTGAACTTATTACTTTAAATTAAAGCAAAGGCCAATGTACTACAGTGCCTTGCCTCAAAGCACATTTCTTTTTAACATGTCACAGTATCTCAGCAAAAGGCCTTGTTTAGCTCTCTTAAATAGAGCTCTAAGACTTCCCAAACACCACAGAACCGTTCCGGTTCTGCCACCTTAATGTCACTGCTTCAGTTAACACAGAATCACAGCTGAAAAAAAAAAAAAAGAAAAAATATAGAATAAAATATATGTAATTATTTTAAGCGTCCAAATTATTTTAAGCTTTTCCTGCTGCAAGCTTTAGTCACGTTTAGTTTTGAAATTTAAGTAAGGAAAGGACAAACTCTCCTCTTGCCGCCACCTAGATAAGAGCGTTCATCGTGCTGCTGGAAACCCTCGCACCCAAAAGCTACACAAACAAACAAAGCGCACACAAAAAAAACCAAGAAAGCCCCCCA